CTCAAAGATGCATAACCTGAATCTAATCAAGAAGAAACAAGATGAACCCAAATTGAGGGACTGCTACAAAATAACTGGTCTGTGTTCTTCGAAAGTATTGAGCCTGTGTGAAAGTCGCAGGAAGACGGAGAAACGCTTCCGGATCGAAGGAGACTGAAGAGATGAGAAAACTAAACACAGTGTGTGATTCTGAACTGGATTCTTTTGCAGAACGAACATTATTGGGACAATTCACAAAATGTAAATGGTGTCTGAGGAATAGCAGGAAGTTACACAAACGTGTGGATTTTCTGAGTTCCTCTGATTTTCAGAGTAAGATTGAGGTTTTGCCCTTGTTTGTAGGAATGACACAATTAAGTATTTAGGGATGATGGGTATCATGTCAAGGATGTACCTTTAAATGGTTTAGGAAAAGAAGCTTTTGTACTGTGCTTCCACTTTTACAGAAGCTTGAAACTATTTCAAAAAGAAAAATGTCTGACCTTTAAGAGTTTAATAATAAGAACGTTATACTAAAAATGTTTGGTTGCTTTATTTGTTTTGGGGTGTGTGTGTGTGTGCGCGCGTACGCACACGCATGCTTCCTGCTGTTGTGTATTTGTCACTAACAGCAGACCATCACTGATGGCCCATATTCACCTCCAAATAGAGCCCAACCTTCTGCTTTTTGGTTGACCTCTTTTGACTTTTGTGGGTCATTTTGTAAGTTCAGTATAGTGTGTGTATAATTCTCCATAGTTTATATGGCTAGTATTTCTAATAAACCCTTAACATCTTTGAATTGCAGCTAATTTTTAACTTTCCATTGCACCTGGTGATTCAAGATTTGGAGACATAAGATATTCTGATTTTAAAATATGTTAGCAGTTAATTGAAGACTAACTATGTACAAGAGTGGTTTTTTTTCTAAACTATTCAGTATAATTACTTCTATAACACATTATTTTTTTAAATGGTGGCACATTTGCTTGAAATGGTTTTCCTGTGAACCATTTATCAAGCTAATATGAACTATAAACAATGCCTGTTCCATACATTCTAACCATCTTGACCTTTAAACTTCCTTGAAATTATTCCCAGCTATCAATCTGTACTTGTAAATAACAAAACTGCAAACAAATCAGACTGTAGGGATCCATTCCTGCCCACCTGGTGTGAGTGGGCTGGGGAGAGGAGGCTGCAGAAGCAGGTGAGTGGAGGGGAGTGGGAGGGAAAGCAGACAACCTTTAGAGTAGTTCAGTTCTGATCTTCTCCCTCCCTCCCTCCCTCCCTCCCTCATTGCTCCATCCATCACAAATTAGTCGAGTGTCAACTATGTGTCAGGCAGGATAATGGACACTGGGGAGCTGATGACCAATGGGACACATTCTGGGCTCTTTAAGGAACACTGAGTTTGGAGGAGAGCCTGCTGCACTAGAAATTTAAGTATGTTCTAATAATTTCTACAAAAGAATTCAAATATAATGTGCTATGGAAGGAGGAAAAATTGCTGCCTGACAGGAGTAAAAGAAGTCTTCACAGAAAAGGTGACGTTTAAAGCCTTGGCTGCAGTTTATCAGAAACGAAGGAGGGAGGGAGTTACAAGCAGAAGGAAAAGCCCAGAGGTCTGACGTGGCTCCTTCAGCGCTCACAGAGGGAGGTGAATGCACAATGAAGCACTGTGTGTGCGTCTGCGAGCAGGGAGGGCTGGAAAGCAGAGCAGAAAGGCCCACACGGGCAGACATTTTAAAAAAGAAAACAGACAAAAAGCGAACAGCAACAACAAACAGCCCTGTGTGATACGCTGAAGAGTTTGAACTTTATTCTGCAGGCTACCAGGGTGCGAGTGGAGGGTTTGCTGGAAATTACGTGGTCAGCTACCTCCCCACACGGGGCTTCTGTGGTTCTAAGGAGTGGGAATGGAAAGTCTGACCCTGCACACCTTGAGAATAGATGGCCTCTCCCTTCATTTAGCTCTCTGCAACCCCTCCTCCATGTCTGCCTCCCCTTGCAAAACATACCTGTTTTCTGTTCTTTATCTGGATTAATTTTTCTTCATGGTACTTCCCACATATTTGCCTTCTTTACCTGCTTATTGTCTGTCTTCCCCAATGGTACATAAGCTCTATGATAACAGGGACTTTGTCCCATTACTGCTGTCTCCTGGAACCTGTGTCAGATATAGCACGTGCATGTTCGTTCTTGAATGAGTGATGAGTGATGCAGACTTGCCACAAGTCTTGGTCCAAAGAACTCGGAAACCCATAAAACTCAGATTCTAGGACGGGAACTTTGCAGTGGCCAAGGGCCTCTGAGCACGCAGGTAGAGGGATGGTGAGGTGAGAAGCTCTAGAAGCTCTCTAGAGCAACACTGTCTTTCTAAATGAGATGGTGAATCCTTATCCTATGATCGTTTTTGTCTTTCCCCCACAGCTGGCCCTTTATAATGGGAAGGCAGTACTCGAATATTCTAATTTAGGGGTGTTAGAAACTGTATAAGGATTTCACTGGGAAGAGAGAATGAAGCCTGGATCTGTCCTGTAACACACTGTCCAGAGCCAGATTCTGGAATCATGAAGCTGGTGTTAAAGTCCCCTGAGATCTCAAAATGGTCAGACCACATCCTGCAGAACTTGGTGGGTCCCATGAGGCGTCAGCCTGAACATCTCGCCTTCCACTCCCAGCATCTTGCATAAGGGACACTCGTGATACAGGGGTGAATTCATCAGCAAGGCTCCTAGATAAGTGTCCAGCTGGGGAGGTAGTTCCCCGTCTCCATCAGCTGGATGCCCAGCAAAGTGGACTGGGCGGGGTCTGAAAACTTCTCAGAACACTGGCTAATGGCTCAGGTCACTAACTTTCCCAAGCTAGATGGCTGGAAGTCACCTCAAATCATGCGAGAAATGGACAAATCTCAACTATCTGAAAACTTGTGGCCTTGTTTCTAGGTCCTTTCAATTTGAGAACCAACCAATTTTTTCCTATTTCAGGCAACCCAGACCACCTATTATGGATATGCTGGGAAGATTCAGCCGTGGTTCTATCGCCTGGCATATGGGTGATTATGAGACCATCAGTGAAAGAAATTCCAAAGGGTCCGTCCTCGTGAGGCAGAGTAAGGCTTCAGCAGTTCCAGGAGTTTCCACACCACCTAAGCTGCCAAAGCTACCGAAAAAGCAAGAGGTATGATCAGCGCTTTTCTGAATGTCAAGTTTTTTCAATATGTGAATTAGAGAATGCTCTTTAACAGTCATATTACTCCTGATGCTTTATGGCTCCTTTAAATCTATCCAAACAGTTTGTAATTCACATGAGATTTCCACAGTAACATCTATACTGTGGGAAGGTGGGTATTATTCTCATTTCATAGCTAAAGAAAACAAGAGGTTGTGGGGCTCAGACTTTCCAACTGCTTACTGATCATAAGGTTTATCCTGGACAGAACAGCCATCCCTTTGATTTCCCAAACCCGAGAAAGCTCTCTGTCTGTGAAATGGAGGAAAATCTTTAACTCCATTTAAAACCCCTACAGACTGGCAAGCAGAGTGAGAATATACCAGTTCAGGTTCAGTTTCCCCAGCTCCCTATTACTATCTATGGAATCCTAAGCAAGTTGCATGGTTTCTCTCGCTCTCTCTCTCTCTCTCTCTCTCTCTCTCTTTCTCTCTCTCTCTCTCTCGCTCTATTTTTTTAAATAAGTAAAATGGGGATATTAATATCTGTCCTGAATATTTTGTAGTTATCATGAGAATCAAGTAAAGAATGTCAAGTATATATTCAAATCAACAACTATTTCCTCAGGTCATTTTGCATAATCCCGCAGCAAGGTGTGCTCCAGTCGTCCAGTATTTTGAGTATGATGACAAACTTCCATGAAAGAAAAGGAAAGAGATTAGTTGGAAATAGAATAGAGACCTGTTTCCTACAGGAAGAGAGTCTCCTTGCTCCACTGAAGAATCCTGCCAACTCCCTAGAATATTGCTGGCCCTATGTCGCCAGAAATCTGATCCATTAGTAATTAATTACATCTGTGGGAAACATCCTGTGAGGGAGCTGTAGAGGTCCTCCTTGGTAGGTGCTGAGCCCAGGGATACTTTGTACTGAAAAAGGGAGCAGCTCAGCTGCTGACATTCCTATGTGGTCTGAATTTTGGGCTGGGTCCAAATGAGATGATTTACTGCAGTGTGAGTGGAGGAGGCTCCGGTTAGTTACTTTCCATCACTGAACTAATTTTCTGTTAGGATTAGAGTGATCATGTATTAAATGATCCCAAATGCCTTCTTCTATCATTCACTAAATCCAATTGAGATATTTTTGTGCATTAAAAAAATTCTGTTGAGAGACTTACTTTGAAATGATTTCAAACTTGCAGAAGAGTTGCAAGCACAGTAGAAAGTGAACTCCTGATAAATGCTTCCCCTAAACTAATTAATTGTTAATTTGCTTTAGTGCTTTCCTTCTATGTGTGTGCATATATACACATACATACACACGCATATATATTTGTGTTTTTCCAAGCCGTTTCAGGGTGAATTGCAGACATGACACTCTTTTACCCCTAAATACTTGAGGGTATATTTCCTAAGAACAAGTATGTTCTTCTCTCACATAACCACAGTACAATGATAAGATTCAGGAAATTTAACGTTGATACAATATTATCATCGAACCTACAGTTCATAATCCAATTTTATTTGTTGACCCAATAACGTCCTTTGTATTTTTCTCTGACATGAGATCTCATCCAGGGTCATGTATTACAGATAGTCATCATGTCTCTTTAGTCTCCTTCAACATGGACTTTTAGGACATCGACACATTTTGAAGCGTACAGACCAGTTCTGCAGAATACCTCTTGATTTGGGCTTATCTGATGTGTTCTCATGAGTAGATGCAGGTTGTGTGTTTTGGGCAGGAATTTCAGATAAGTGATGTTATGTCATTCTCAGTGCGTCACATCAAAGAGGCGCCTGATGCCAGTTTCTCATTGTTGGTAAGGGTAATTGATTATTTGGTCACACTTCTTTCCTTCCAGAGATAAACAAAATGCTGTATCATTCCAAACAATCTCTCTTTTTATCAGCGAGGCTTTCTGCTAAGTTTCCATTTTTTTTGGGCCATCCTACAGTACTTGAATAAGTACGCAAGCCCCCACCCCTTTAATACAAATACTCTTCAGGAAAAATAACTTGAAGCAAGTGTTCTTCTAAAATCAAAAGCAAATGATGAATACGAGGTGTGTAAAGCCTCCAACATAATGTCTCATACTAGCCACCAGTGAGTGGCTACTATTAATATACTTATCAGAAATGCCAGCATATTTTCCATCCTTACGCTAGAAGATTCAGAACCATGAACTGAAAACAGCCTCGAAAAAGGAAAAATTTGCCAATGGAATTGGATGATTTAGGTGGGAAAATCTTAAAAGCATAAAACTATACACAATATACCATGTTTTCTCATCAAGATAAATGGTTGAAAATAGGGACATTTTACATATTCGGGTTCTTCGGTTTGGATTTTTTACTTATAAACCTAAGTTTAGAGCTTAATTATAATGTCTCTAAAATGCAATTGATAATATTTAACAGCATGTATCATTCTTGTATACATTTAGCTCAAATGCCCTTACAAATATTTTTGAAAAACAATTGGACAAATTCCTAAACTATTTATTCTACTCTTTTCCCAATTTTCTCCTTTTCTTAAGTCACAAAATTTCTCCCAGTTCTTTCTAGTACATTTGCTATTTCCTTTCTTGATTTTTTATTAACTTTTTTTCCTGCACATAATAGCCACTTAAATATTTTCAAAATTTTGTGTATTCAACAGATATTTTTAATAACATCAACCATTTCTATTTAGTTTCTTTGCTTACAAATATTCTCATTGCCCCCTTCATTCTACACATGAACATAATCTCAGTGATTGATATATTCTTTCCTTCATTGATTCATTCACATTGTGTGCAAAAGCAGTAATTCTCAAATTTTAATGTGCATATAAATCACTTAGGGATCACATTAAGTTGCAGATTCTGATTCAGTAGGTCTAGAATGGGGCTTGAGATGCTGCATTTCTCTCCAGTCCCCTGGCAATGCAACTGTTGCTGGTCCAGGGACCTTGAGTAACAAGGGGCTAGAAGATTTGACACTGAATTGCATTTTGAGCTGGACCAGGAAGGACTTGATGGAGCAAGGTGGGGAGGGAGACTAGGAAGAATGAACTGGCAGGGCAAAGGCAATGACAGCTTAGTACTTTGTGGGAAGTGCGTGTTGTTCAATATGTCTGGATAATAGACAAAAGGGGCCTCTCTGGTGATGAGCTGAGGAAGAGGGACCAGCGGTGGCATCTGAGTGCAGGGTGCTGAAGAACTTGGATTTTACTGGATTGACTTTTAAACAGAAGTGACAGGATTAAACTTGAATTTGGGAATCTTATTTAGACACCACCTGGAAGAAGGTTGATTAGAACTGTTTGATATGAAAGGGAGATGAGTTTGGAGGGCATTTTGGTAACTTAAATGAGAAATGAGGAAATAAAAGAAGGCAAAGAGAAAAGAGAAAAGGTGATGCATTTGAGACACAAAAGAAGTACTAGATTCACCAGCTGTTGGTGCTGACTGGATGTGGGGAAAGACTTCTATTACCATGAAAAGGGAAAATGTTGGGGGGCCGAACCTTGTGAGAGTGGGGTGAGAGGCGGGAGAGCCAGGTAGCAGTAAGTAGAGAATGAACAGGAAGCAAAGAAGTGAATGCCAAGTAAACCTTTCTAGAAAATGGCTAGTTGTCAAGGGAAGGAAAAATTTAGGGTAAGGTGTCGGGGAAGAGGGACGCATAGGAGGAAAGGTTAATATGGGTGAATTTTTTTTTTTACATATTGAATAGAAAAAGTCGGTAGACTGAGAAATTGAAAATGAGAGAAAAGGATAATAACTGATGACTTGGGATCCCCAAGAAAGCAGAGGGAGGTACATTGCCATAGCAATTAACACACAATGGAAAGGATTCACCTTTACAGGAAGAGGGCTTCTTGTATCTCATCCTTTAAGGGATAACTCTGAAGTCTGTACTATTTACTGTGTTAAAGATCATTGCTTCAAAGCCTAATTCCTATAACTTGGTATAATGATATTCTGACTGCCTAGCTCAATTATGGGGTCAGCATATATATCATTGGACTGATACCTTAAGTACCTGTATTAATCAGGGTTCTCTAGAGAAAAAGAACCAACAGGATGGATAGACATATAGACTGATTTAAGGAATTAAGGAATTGGCTCACGTGATTGTGGAGGGTAGCAAATCCAAAATCTGTACAGTAGGTAGGCAAGTAGGCTGAAGACCCAGGCAAGAACGTTGTTGCAGCTCAAGGTCAAAGGCAGTCTTGAGGCAGAATTCCCTCTTCGTAGGGGACCTCAGTCTGTTTTCTCTTAAGTCCTTCAACTGACTGGATGAGACCCACCTACATTAGGAAGGGCAATCTGCTTAAATTGAAGTCTACTCATGGAAACATTAATCTCGTCTAAAAAATACCTTTACAGCAACATCCACACTGGTGTTTGACCAAATATCTGGGTACCATGGTCTAACCAAATTGACACATAAAATTAACTACCACAGTACCCATCTCATCCAGGATTAAATGAAGAAACATACATAAAGCATTCAACAGAATCGTCCAGACACCAGGGAACCAAAAAACAATGTGGTGTGTATGTGTGTGTTTAAGTTCTTTATCAATAGCTGATTTTAAAGTTGCTTGAGGGGACATGGAAAACACTTGAAATTTTCATTTAATCCAAAGAGGATTTTGAAATAACTAATGCTACTTCTTTCTATAGTCTTAAAATAACATAATTCAGTATGGTATTATGTTGCTACAAAAGTTATACCTAACGGCATATTTTTTCCCTGAGATCATGTATATCAATGATCTCATCTTTTTCATAGTAAACATTCTATAATGCCTTTTACTTTTCTAAAATAGAATTCATAAATAATATAACGTACTTACACAACACACATAATTTATAACAAACCAATAAAATGCACCAAATTTACTATTTAAAAAGTAACATATTAATACGTTTTTTGATGCACAGAATTTGGGGCACTAGTAGATTAGAAAATATAATGATGTAGGCAGATGTTTACATCTATATATAGTCTCCATGAATGCAACACCTACAAATGAAGACTGCCAAAGATACACTGTACTGATGACTTAAATTCCATTGAGTACCATAGCAGTTGGTAACGGTTTCCAAATTATGTCAATTCTTGTTAAAATTCTGAACCTTACAAGGTAAAATCTCCTCAATT